GGGCTCAGCAGGATCTGTTTCCACTGCTGTCTTCTGCAGTTTCTTCTACTCTTCTTGCTTGACACTGACCTTTCTCCAGACCTTCCCTGACACCACTTCCTATGCCTCCACAAACTCAGATCCCCAGCCTTTCTTGGATGACAACCACCTCTTCTGTTTCTTTCTTCTGATAATTTAACCTCAGGTTTGTTCACGAAGTCCTTTCTCTCTTAACCATCTCTCAAATGTTGGTTTCCTAGGATTCTGTTTTCTGCTCTGTTCCTTTACCTGGTCAACTCAAGGTGGCAATTACCCCTTTGAACTGAGGGTTCCCTGCCCTCTACTTGGAGTGCCATCCAGTCTGTCTCCCTTACACAACTGCCCATCTGTAACCTCTACCCATGTATGTTACTCACATCTCAAATGAAAACCATTCCACACTGAATTCCTCAGACTCCCTTATCAAGCTGACTCCTCCTCTGCCCCCTGATCCTCACAGCAGGTGCCTCTAGTCCAGGCCCACTGGCTTCCTGCCTGGAATCCCATGAATTCTGTGAGGCTTCCAACTCTAGTTTTGCCTCACTTCAATAATGCCTCCTAAGTGACCATTCTTATTAACTTCTAATTAAGAGAACTTCGTGAACATATTCTCTTTGTGAAAATTAAAACATTACATGGAAACAAAGTCCCCTTTTATTAGATTCATTCCAAGAGTAATTGCTGTTACCAGTTAAGGTGTGTCCTTGTAACTCTGTGTGTTTTCCAAACCTTCCTCTCAGTGCTTATTTGCATATTTCACAAACACCTAATATTCTTTAAATATAAATAGTAACATATGGTGATATTTTGTAACTTGCTTTATTCCTTGATGTGCCTTGCAGCTCCATCCACATTAGGGTGTTCTTTCTTTCTAAACTGTGGCAACATTTGCCAGAGTAAGGACACATCATTGTTTCTTTAGCCATTCCTTTATTAAGGAACATTTGTTTCTGATTCAGACCAATTTTTCTAAAATATCAGGGATAAAAAAGTTCTTCTGCTTAAATTCTTCAAATATTTCTGGTCATCCATGGAACAGTTCAAATCTCTTAGAACCGTACCAAAGCACTTACAGTGTGGCCCTTAGACAGCCTCCCATCTCATTTTCTTCCTTGTCTTTTTCATACCTGCAGCTTCAGCTAGAATGAATTATTTATAATCCCTTAAATTACACTGTTTGTTGAATGAATACATAAAATGCAGCCCTTTTCAGAAATAACAGGAAAGAATAAAAAGAGCTCTAGAGAGATTCATTTTGTGAAGTGATTATGAGCAAAGAAGCAGAAGCTCATGTCTAGGGGCCTGGGCTTTCCCTTCCCCATCAACTTCTTGAGGCCTGAGAACCCTAAAGGAAGTTTCCCAATTAACACACTCCAAGCTGCACCTTCCTCTGAACCAGACTGATACCTGCAGCGATTCCTCTCTGTGCTTATTTGCATATTTCACAAACACATAATATTCTTTAAACATAAATAGTAACATATGGTAATATTTTGTGCCACCCACTCACCAAGAGAGGTGCCTCCAGGGTTTTCTTTCTCTACCTTCCAGGGATCTTCTCCCTCCTGCAACAGGGAGATCACCTTTGGTTTGATAAATGGGAGTCCTCCTAATAGAAAATAATTAAAATTTAAAAAACTCAGAAAAACACAAAACGAAAATCAATCTGTTACAGAGATTACATGTGGCCCACAAAGCCTATACTACCTGGCCTTTTATAAAGTTTGCTGACCCCTAGAAAAAGCAAATGGGAAAGGCAAGTGGAAGGTCCAGAGGTTGGATGAAACCTTCTGCCAAGAGTTGCACACACCACAGAACAATCACAGTGGGAAAATGACACCTGAACTATGAAGAAACTTCTAATGTGTAATTACATAGAAGGAAGGTGATGGTTACCAAGACCACCTCCTCCATTCCTAAACACAAGGCAATTCTATACCGGTAAGAGGAACATGTTCACAATATTTATTTACAAAGATATGATTTGTATAATCATAAGGCAAACCTCAGCTAAACTTTGTTGATGACCAACAGCTTTTATTCAGGGAAGCAGGTGCTGAAGTCTAATTTCTGAACTGTGTCCACAGGGGATTTCCTTACCCAGTGAGGCCAGGTTACTATAGTTCTCCAGTATCACCTCCCGGTACGAGCTTCTCTGGGAAGGATAAAGCTTTTTCCACTCATCCCGAGTAAAGAGCACAGCCACATCCTCGAACGTCACTGATACCTGTAAGAACAAGCCACTCCAGCTCTCCCAGGACCAGCCCTCACACAGCATATAGATGGAGAAAATGGAGGACAGGCTATCATGAAATCCTGTTTATACTATTTAAGGTTCTCGAGGTGCCAGGTCTTTTATTTAATGAATATTCATCCAGTGAGAAAAACACACCCAACAGAAAGAATTATGAATGTAGCTGCTATATCTTGGGATCTTGAGCGACCCCCAAAGGCCCAGGTGTTAAAGGCTTGGTTCCCAGCCCAAGATGCTTTTGGGAGGTGGTGGAAACTTTAAGAGTTGTGGCCTAGTGAAAGGAAGTTAGGCCAATAGGGTGAGCTCTTGTAGGGGATTTGGGACCTTGGCCCCTTCTTATTTCTCTCTCTCCATGTTCCAACAGTCATGATGTGAGCAGCTTCCTATGCTATGCACTTCTGGTCATGAAGTAATGTTCTACCACAGGCCCAAAATGACAGGCTTAAGTAACCATGGGCTGAACCTCTGAAACCATGAGCCTAAATAAACATTTCCTCCTTACAAGCTTATTGCCTTGGTATTTTGTAATATCAATGGAAAGCTGACTAACACACTGGCCTTGTGTTAACCACTACAAAAGATGTGTAAAGGGATTAAGGCCATTAGTGGGAGTGTTAATTAGAACGATCTGACAGATTTGATAATACGTATTTCAAAGCCCGGGAATGTTTATATTCTTAACTTACCAATGATTGTATTTGTACTATAATGAACAGTACACAAAATTGCACATACAAGGAAACTTATCATGGTGTTTGCAGTAGCAAAAAATGGAAAAAACCTAAATATTCATTGATGAAGACTAGGTTAAATAACTTAAGACAGGCAATGTCTGCTTATTTGAATTGAAGATAGTAATTACAAAAATTAAAATAGCTGTCAGTTATTGAATGCTTTCTATGGGCAAAGTACTGCTCTTAAAGCTTTATGTTAATCTTTTATGTATAATATATTTAATCTTCACCACAACTTAAGAAGGTAATATCATTGTCCCCATTCTACCAAAAAATAAATAAATAAATAAATAAAAGTACGAAAAGGATAAGAAATCTGTCCTTAAAAAGTCACACAGCTGGTCAGTGATAGAAATGGAATTCCAAACCCAGTGGTTGTCCTAGACTCCATTCCTAGTCAATCTGTACATCTGCTTCTCAACGCCTACCTCATAGGGTTAGGAAATATATAAATGAGATAATCTATATAAGAAGCTGAATTTCTTTGAAGAAGCCACATCTATATTTTGAATTAATTTTTATTGGTGCATTATAATTATACATAATAATCAAATTTATTGTGACATAGTTGTACATGCATATAACATAAATCAGTCAGTTTTATTCCCCAGTGCCATCTATATTAAAGATCAAGCAGACTGACCTCAGCTGAGAACATCCTGATTATGGAGAGATGGCAAGTTGCAGGTTGAGTCAAAATTAGCTTGGGCTACATTATGGCCTTAGAAAAAGAGTCATTTACTTAAACTTTTGTATCTCACCTAACATTCTCCTAGGTAAACCTCTTAAAATGTATTAACGGCTTAACAGACCTCTAGTCTCCACCAACCCTAAAGCTAAGAAGGCTGCAACAGTCAATACCTATAGGAAAAACTTTCCCTTTCTGCTACAGCTCACCTACCTACTGGCCTCACCAACATATTTCTTAAAAATATTGATTCATGACTTTTGTTCTTTGGCTATAAGTTCAGGTAATCTCTTCCACAGCAGAACAAGTCATTCAGGCAACTTGAATCCATGTTTCTGTGCCACTCATACTTGGTTCAGAGTAAGTTATCTTATTTTCTTTAAAGTCAAGTTATTGTTTTATGTTATCATTTACAATGGAGATGGATAGTGATGATGGTTCCTTAACAATGTGAATGTATTATATATGGTTCCTTAACAATGTGAATGTATTATTGTAAAGTGTCACTGAATTATACACTCAAAAATGATTAAAATTATACAGTATGTACATTTTAGAATAAAAATTTAAGATAAAATACATATACATATGCACATAGATAAATGGACATATAAAATGATTTTTATGGATACACACCAAAGGGCTGTCAATGGTTATCTCTAGATGTAGAAGCAAATGACTCTTTACTTTCTTTTTTAAAATGTGATATCATGAAATATACACTTGATCTTCATTCCATTTCTTGGCATGGAGCTCCTAAAATCCACAGAATCTTCAAAAGTGATGAATGACA